AATTGGCGACATCGTACACTGTAATCGGCTGTCACTCTCCACTTGTTGCGGAGATCACATGGCAATTAGGGTTTTCTAACTCATTTAAATATCCAATCTCCGAAAGAGTGTTTTTTGCAAGAAGTTAATGCAGTGGACAAATTAAGTAAGGCTTTATAATCTTCCATCCCGATCGGTGGACCATTAGTAATCTCCGCAGAAGACACTGCAATTCTATAATTGTTTCCGAAGCATTTCGTTCTAATGCTTCCTTCTAACCATGATCTGGATTCATAACCAAACAACCCTTCATAAGTTCTTGCACTTCACCAGTTGTATACTGAATGAGAAAGTTTAATCTTGTACTATTACAACAGGTCTTGGATTCTATCAAATTCTTAAAAGTTCTAATAAAATTACAGTATTCTGTTGGTTCGCCTCCAAACACTGAGATTTCTGCCTTACGTATCATTAACGACAGGGAGTTCTAACTTTGATTTGTTATCATCCGCTCATGACAGAAATGAAATGAAATGAAATGGGGTTTAACGTCCTACTGTTTTGCTCCGAACTGGGCTAGGAGGGAAAATTTGCCCGGACAGCGGCACTAGGGCCTACATCTTATATCGAATTCCAACTGTCAAGGGATCTTTTTCGTGCACGCCAATGTGTACACGGGACCTCGGTTTTTCATATCATCCGAATAACTAGAAAGCTGTCCTGCATCACTGACAAGGGGGAACACGCCGGAAAATCTGGGTGAACTCGCTCATGACAGACCATTTGTCTTTCTTGAACTTGCAACATTAATTGTAGCGTACCGGTATTATCTTCTTGAAAATTATCATTTACTTCACGAGCTTGGGGGACCGCATTCATACGCGAAGTAACTTCTTGTAGTACTTCACGAGCTTAGGGAATATGTTTCATACGCGAAGGATGATCTTCTTTAGTATTTTGAGCTTGGCGATCCTCGAAATTCGTATGCTTGGGGAACTACGTTCATACGCGAGTCTGACTACACGAGCTTGGTTAATTTCATTTAAAGATGAATTTGAGTCAACCTGGAAACATGATTTTGTTCACGAGCTTGGGGAACCTCGCTCATACGAGAACCCGGATCTTCTTGTCTTGGAATATCAGCAGACTCAGGGTTACTTGTGACTGGAATGCTGTTTCCTTGTTGATTACCATGTCAAGGGGCTATTTCTGTAAGTTAGAACCGAAACGGATATTTTCAGTTTCAAATACTGGAGTTCTTGTGTTAATCCTTGGAAATACCGACCTTTTCTGGTTCTTACTTTCTTCTACTGCTTCAGAATATACCTCATCCCTTACATGAACTTGTAACAATTCACCTCTAACCTTTAATAACTCTATTCAACACCAACTCTAAAGAACGTAATTGAAGTCTCCGGTCAGCAAGTAATTTTTCCTTTTCTATTAGCTTTAATTTCTCTTCTAAACCTTTCCGTTTGGCCTGTTCTTTAACCATCCTGCTTTTTTATGGAACTCTTTGAACAACTACTTCCATGAGAATGATGAGAGTTGATAGTGAAAGTGCCAGTGTGAAACCTTTTAACATAACGTGGGAATACTTGACTTAAAGAGTCATCTGGGCCCGATTCCTAGAAAATTCTTAAGCACGTTCTTGTGCTTAGATTTAAGTAGACTTTGCATTTAAGTAAACTTACCTTATTTGGTGTTCCCAGAAAATTCTTAAGAACGTTCTTGTGCTTAGATTTTAAGTAGACTTCATTGTAAGCACAAGAACGTTGATATGCGTTCCAAGAAAAAAACTTAAGCACAACTTCGTTCTTAAAGGGACAATAACACTCTTGCTGGCTTGACAGCTCCAGAAAATAAATAATAGCCTTATTCTAAGTATTAGATGTTTAAATGTCCTACATGTTGTGTAAATTATCCATTAAATCCTATTTTACTTGTCCAGAGGGTTCGGAAATATTTTTAAATCCAAGTCACATTTGAAAAGGTTTACGTTAGGCTTTTCAAATCATTTAGTTGAATTTTTCCAATTTTTTAAATTAGGTGTGTTAAGATGAAATTTGTTTCATCAATTACTTGGAATACTGTAAAATAGTACAATTTGTTGACCAGAATAAAGATTGGGACATATTATTCTGTTACAACAAGATTGTAATTGAGCCTTTAAACATAGTCAATCTAACCACAAGTCCCAAGCAAGGTATGCGGCTGGCTTGCCAACCATAAGTCTGTTTCTGCTTCAAAAAGATGGCTGACCGTAGAGTTAGTTATTCGACGGCATTTCCGACACCTTTTGATACCAAAGAGACAATTACAAGACAGAGAAAATCCTTCTCCAGAAGAAATTTTAAATTAAGAATGCTATATAAAATTTCGCTTCTAGGCCTACCCTGAAACCATTTTATTTATTTGCCAATTAGTAAACAATAGGCTGCAAACACACAGGCTACTTTAAGGGTGTATTCCCACGAAGGCGCAGTTACAGAGCGTGACCAAAATTAATCCTTCCCACGAAGGCGCAGATATCGACTTGTCGGCTTTCGTTTGAAGAGAGGCATGTTGCTATTAGGACCCATTTAACGGTGTTAAAGATTTTATGAATTTATGTTCACTATGAACCAACAACACTCTGGAAGGATAGCATGCAAGAATCAAGAAGCTAGTTGGAAAATCCCATCCGAATGTTTTTGAAATGATCACATTCTTACAACAAGAACAAAATATTAACCACCAAGGAATATATAAATATGCTCAAATCCAAAGCCAGCTCCAGGAATTAAAAGGAAGACACGAGGAAGAGGAATTGACCTTAGTCGAGTATTTAGACAGGGTGTCTTATTTGGCGAAATTAAATTAATTTTTGTTATAGTGTAGTTATGTTTTCATTTCTTATGCCAAAAATGATGCTAAAATGTTGGTTAATTAGTTACGTTGGGGATTATGAAAGTGTAAATTCTTATCATAACAATCTATAACACCATTGTTACGATTTTAATCCATTTTAATCCCTAGGAGCTGGATTCCCACGAAGTCGTCGCAAACGACCTCGTTTAATCCGTTACGGTCAATAACTGCGCCTTCGTGGGAATAAACCACTTTAAGATCAGGCGCTCTCACAATTATTCAGTTAGTTTGTACGCGTCTGCGTTTTTTATCTTGTGGCACATTTTATATGTGAATAGGGGACATGTCAAATGCATCGAAATGAACCATCGTAGTCTCAGTTTATGGTAAACTTTACCAGTCACAATGTGCTTAGACTTATACTGGACTTGTGCTTTCGTAAGAATGGTCATGAGAATTTTCTAGGGACGGTATTTTTATATGTTTCTTACGTAAGAAAAAGTGAAGCATGACTTTGTGCTTACTTTAAGAATTTTCTAGGAACCGGGCTCTGGTGTCACTTGCAATTCATCAGATGAACCTGTTAATTCTCTTAACTCCCTTGCATTCCCCGACACTGTAGGGTAGGCTCTACGAACAGGATACTACTCGTGTTCGTGGATATTCATGTCAGGTTCAACCACTTTAGAGTTATTGGTGAATTTCGTTTTATTAAAACAGCCAGGGATAAATTGTTACTGTGTCACGTGTGTCCATTGCCATTAGACAAAATGATTCACGTTTAACTCGCTGTAGCGTCCATTCTTTACTACAGATATATCATGTTTTTTTCATAATTGAGCATTATCATTTAAATTAAAATTTTGGATTGTAAAGCGCAATTTATTAATTACAGTAGAATCTGTATGAGCAGCCACTCCTATTCGGCGACATCTCCTTGTAAGCGGTCAAATTAAATTCCCCCCGTAGAAATTCTGTTGTTTCATCTCTTTATTCAACGGTCACTCCTCTAACGCGGCCAGCGGTCACTATATTACTAATAAATTCAACAAAACATAGCCCATTCAACGGCCATTGTTGAATGATATCATCTTGTTGTTCTTTGTAACACCCCCGCTAATCCCGTGAGTAGTAGTTAATTAACTAGACCCCCACTGATCAGGTAAAAAGAAATGTAAAAATAACAATCAACCCGGGATTATCTGTTAATTAATCTTTTGTTTTATTAAACGACTAACCTGATCATTGTTTTCACGCGTAACGACACATTATTTGATACTGATTGAATAAAATAAAAGTACCGAGTTTTGTCACGATCATCTAGTATCTCTCTTAGCGCCTCCTATAATATTACATACAGAGTTACACCCCCTGTAAATAGGTCATGAAATTAGCGATGTTTTTTTTGTCCATGTGCTTTTTTGATAAAATAAAATGAATTCATCGATTTTCTTCACAAAAATGGATAAATATTATGGAATGCATCACAATGGTAGACAGTAGTATCGAAGGTTGGTACAAAATGACAAGTTTACAGAAGTTATGTCCGAGATTTGAGTAAAGAATTTTCATTCAGCGCAAGATTCAGCGACGGTCAAATTTACCGCTTCCAATGCATTCAAGCGTAATATTTAATTTATGTCAGCACAAAAAGCACCAAGATTTTATTAAAAGGCCACTCCCGTTAAGTTATGTCCGAGATTTGAGTAAAGAATTTTCGTTCGGCGCAAGATTCAGCGACGGCCAAATTTACCGCTTCCAAGCGTAATATTTAATTTAATATTTATGTCAGCACAAAAAGCAATGAGATTTTATTAAGAGGCCACTCCCGTTAAGCGGTCAGTTGTGAAAATTCCCTTGGGTGGCTGCTTAATGCAGATTCTACTGTATTTGCAAAGTCATTATCCTGAGAGGCCACTTTCTTATTTCTCCAAATAGTATCTACTGTAAAACATACATTTCGTTATAATTTTTTTGTCACGCTATCCTGTTCACGCGCAGTATAGCGTCGCTACGTTTTGGAGACTTTTGGATGCCTTTTGTATTTTTGTATTTAAACTGTTGGACTGGTGATTCTACATGCTCGCTATAAGTATTTCGTATCTACATGCTCGCTATAAGTATTTCGTATCGCTCGAACAGTTATTCTTATATATAATTATTACAGTTTATCATCCACCAAGCATACAATGTTCATTACCATCAACACCTATCTATGCACCTGAAGGTTCAACAAGTTCTGTAGTTACCTGGTCAATGCCAACTGGTAAGGATGGAAAAGGAAACGCGCTAAGGTAACCAAGTTTTAAACAAAATTATTCCTACAAGTGGAATGTCCTCAATATTGTTCCATGGTATTCCTGGGCAATACACGAGTATGTCTGAAATCTGTAAGATTAAAACGACAGTGAAAAGTGACATATTCAAATACGAATAAAGGGTTTAGAAATTATGAAATGAAATTAAATGGAGTTTAACATCTTACTTTTTTACTCCATCCGGGGTAATGACGACGGGTTATGGGTCTTGACTAAGCACCTTTTAAGCCCCACACCACGCACAACAACAGAACAAAGCCCACTGACAAGACATATTATGTAAGATAATAGATAAGAAATAATTTGCTGTGAGTAAACAAAAGTAAAGCTAAAGAACGAATTTGTAATATATAGATAAGGTACGTAATAAAGACTCAAAACGAAACGCACAATCTAGCCAATAGTAAACGGACTTCCCAATGGGGAGATGCCAACGACGAGTTAATATAAATGTTCCATGGTTCTTGCTTGTAACGGAAGGAGGCGAGGTTCGCCTGTCAATATAATACTTAGATCTGTATGTTTCCGTAAATTCCAACAGTGGAAAGTTCTTTTAACTTGCATGGTGCAGAACCTAACGATTGGGCAACACTTGTAAATTCTTCCAGGCAAAATGTCGGATTCATTTCAGGAACATTCTAGCCGATAATCCATTACATATGCGCTCCATTACCACGGCCCCACCGTGCTTATAATACTTTGAATAGAAAAGAATAATAGAAATCATAACTATATTTTAATATCGTACAAAGCCATACAAACTTACGGGTTTAATGCAATAAGCATCTTTTAATACTTCTTAAGGATAAACTAACCTCATGTTTAATGGGTTTGTTTTCTAGACCTAGACTGATAAATGGTATTGGAGATTCGGGTAGTTCGTTTCCACGAGGTCATCATACGATAACGTATTCTGTAACAGACTCCAGAGGATTTAAAGATTACTGTTTCTTTACGTTTGAAGTAGCTGGTGAGTTTTATTTGGATTGTCGTGTAATACGGATTTAAATATTGGACGAACTATATATATATATATCATTCGCCCGTCCATCAATAATTTCTAACGGGCATAACTGGCAAATAATTGGATATCCGCCTTTCTGTCAACAACTTCTTGCAAATATTTGATATCAAGTTGTGCCATACTTCCACGTTGTTCAATCAAACTTGTTGGAAGCATCAAGTTCTAATTCAATTGCTGAAATATATACTTACATCATGGCGATATGTCTGATTAGATTTCTGGAGATAATAAAATAAAACCAAGTACGAACAATCCAAACCATTAGACGAAATTCGAAGTCCTAAAAAAACGGTATAGGTAAAATAGTGTAATAAGGCAAAATAGTGTAATCAGCATATGGACTGTTCACCGTGTACAAAATACACGACAAACAGTGGTAACAGGTGTCCGGAAGAGTAAGCTTACCCTGCCTGGCCCAACACCCGCCATAGCTGCATCCAAACTATTAGACGAAATCTCGGTAAAATAGCGTGATTGGCCAATGGACTATCGGTATGCAAAATGCACGTGATGAAAAGTGTTAACGATGTAGTAGACAGACATTATCAGGGAATTATACGTGTCAATTAAATTATACGCGTCAATTAAATATATCCAGAATAATAGCCGAGAGAGGCATGTTATATTTACCAATCAAGTCAATATGACGGCCATAAAACTTTTTAAAGGTTTTAATAAGTTTAGTTCGCAAGTATCTCTGTAGTTGAAGCTTAGATGACAAATGCCTCGATCTACTTAAAAAATCAGAATAAAATGAACAAGCTCTCGCGTAACGAATTAGTTGAGACACAAACACTCCATAAGCTGGTGATATTGGAATGTTACTACTAATAAATGGAAAGTTAACAATCGGAAAGTCAAAGTCATCACGTTTATCGTACAATTTAACACTAAGTTTATGGCAATTGTCAAAATCGAGACGCAGATCCAAGTAGGAAGCGTAATTGTCACTGTCAGTGGGTTTTTTTGATTTCGAGCTCATCAGGATATACGAATTCTACATAATCACTAAATTTTGGATTATTCAGTGATAGAACATCATCGATATATCGATAAGTGAAATTAAAATGTCTGACTAATCGTTTATTTGATTTTACGAGTGCCTGTATGTAATCGGCTTCGTAGGAATAGAGAAACAAATCAGCAAGCAAAGGTGCACAGTTGGTGCCCATGGGGATACCTGCCACTTGCTGATAAATTTCCCCTCCAAATTCAACAAAGATATTATCAATTAAAAAATCCAACATCTGAATTATCTTGTTGGCGGTGAATTTATTTTTGGAATCACTATGGTTCTTAACAAAATATGTTTAGTTGTAATTAACAACTAAATATTGATATCTAACATTTCCCCATTTAGATGAAAAAACACTGTGAATAATGTCTTTTAACCGAGCTTTTAATTTACTATGGGGAATTATAGTGTACAAAGTAGAAAAGTCAAACGTTTGTATAGATGAGATTGAAGCAAGTGATCTAGATTGTAAACCATCAAGTAATTCTTTGGAATTTTTTTAATATCCACATTAAAAAACCACTACGAGAGTATATTTTGTCACAGTATTTTTGAATACCAGAATTTGAAGAAAGAGATAGAGAAATGGGGTTTAACGCCCACTCGACACAAACTAGGTCATTTCGGGACTAACATATGGTTTAATTTTTATTTCAATAATTCGCTTGCGCGTAGGGGTCTTTAGCAGTGGGAGGAAACGGGAAGACCGGGAGAAAACCCGCGAGGTTAAACAGGCAACCCTATCCCTTGTCACGTACAATCGGGGATTCGAAACCACGCCAGTTGACTTAATGACAGGCCGCATGATACAGCAGTGGGACACGTGCTAACCATTCGGCCATCCAAACTCCAGGATTTGAAGAAACTCACCTGCAGTATTCTTTTTTTCTCAAAAAATTTCACCTAGTTGCATGTACCCTTTTCACTGCCCTAAATAACCAACCAAAACATTTTAGCATTTGTGATTTTGTAAATGCTAAGCTATTGTGATTCATCAGCGTTTACCATCAGAGTTTATTTAGCTTAGTTTAATCTGGTAATAATTATGATGTGGTATGAAAATACAATACATATCGGTATTTATCTTATTCAGTTCATGTGTGTCCGACAGTCCCTTGGCCAGAAAATGGAATAAAAGATTGTGATGGTGTAGAAATGATTTGGGGAAAATCATGTACTGTACGTTGTAATTCAGGTTATGATTTACAAGGTGGCCAGCGTGTTACATGTCGAAAGGATGGAACATATGTCGTCCCCACTTGTAAAGGTATACAGAAATTCATTTTTGCAATATGCATAGCCATATTGTACAGTTAGACTGGGTTGTGTATGTTTTTTTTCTTAATCTTTGTAACAGCCCAGCAAAACTATTTAAATTATTCTTCATAGTCGGCTGTTTATTATATTTGTACAAGGGACTTAAACAGTAGGAGAAGCTACGAAACCGGGATACACCACCACTCTCATTATTACAAAATTATGATTCACATTCAACTTTAGTCGAGTTGTAAGGGAACTGGATTATCAGCAATAGTGTTCCGTGGTAGTACGTTGGGAAGACAACTAAAATAATTCGGTTGGAACGGAAATGAAATGAAATGAAATGGGGTTTAACGTCCTACTGTTCTGCTCCTATGCTGGGCTAATGAAGACGGGCATACACCATACAGTGTGCTATGAGGGAAATTTTGCCCGGGCAGCGGCACTATCGCCTACTCTTATGTCGAATTCCAACTGCCAAGGGATCTTTTACGTGCATCCCAATGTATACACGGGACCTCGGTTTTTCGTATCATCCGAAGGACTAGACAGCTGTCCTTGTCAGGCCCTCCGTCCTGCATCACTGACAAGGGGGAACCACGCCGGAAAATCTGGATGAACTTTCCCGGCCAATGCAGGGATCGAACACCTAACCCCAGGCTAGCGAGCCAGCGTCTTACCCATTCGGGTGGAACGAAAACCCCCATGCACACGTAAAAGGACCATTGGCAGAGTAGGCGAAACAAACATTTTTCTGCTGCTTTGGTCGTGCCAGAGATAACCTAATGCATGTCGTACTATCCAAACAAACTAATTAATGTTAATTGTTTACCTTCAGCTAAGATATGTCCAGTACTAACTCCTCCAACAAATGGGATTGAATACGACTGCCCTGAGGGTAGAAATTATAAAAGTGTATGCTATATTAGATGCAAAAAGGGTTACCGTGCAACTTCAGCGGTATATACAATTTGTACAGAGTCGGGTAATTGGAGAGAACCTCTACCACAATGTGAAGGTAGAGCTCAAATAAAGTCTTTTGTGATGATAAATGAGCAGATATAGAGATTGCTCGCTTGCGTACAAAGTAAAATAATGTAATGATCTTTTAGGGGCATTTAGTAACTGGATAGAGCAATAAACCATAACACATACCTATGGAAGAACAATTACTGATTTATTCAGGCGACGTTTCGAAGGGTATTCTCTCAACGTTTTCAAGTATGTGTTATAGTTTATTAAGATAATGTAATTTTTCCTTTCGAGAAACAGTGCACAATGTGTACTACTACTGTTCTTGCATTTATATAAGGGTATGTAACAGTACACCAACAAATCCAAAGCCCTCCACAACAACACAATCACAATCCACGAAGTACCAAACTAAACCCACTAACCCACAGATGTGAAATGAAATCGGGTTTATCTTCCTACAATCACCTTTAATCTATCTTATATTTACATACAGCAATTTGGTGTTCTAGAATACCTGATATTATTCTAACATGTTTCTTATCATTCACCACGAATGCACTTCAAATTATTATCTAAACTACTGAATATTTCTCTTTAACAGATTATACGGCACCTGTATTTGATAACTGTCCTGTTAACCCATTCATAGTTTATGCAGATACAGGTTTAACATCAGCAACATTCACATATGAACCGATAACAGCAACAGATAATTCAGGAACGGTAAATCTAATACTAGTGCAAGGCTTACCGTCTGGGTCACGTTTTGAAAGAGGTACGCATGTCATACAAATGAATGCCGAAGATCAAGATAGAAATAGAGCTTATTGTTTCTTTTCTGTGTCAGTTCAAGGTAAGATTATCTTAGAATTATTAAATTGTGTATCAGAAATAACTAAATTTAAATACATATTTTGCCAATCAAAGTTTACATAATATTAGAATTCATTTATGATAAGTATTTATTAAAAACGATACGAAATAATAGATTGAATTTGAATCAAACTTGCTATCGTGTAATGCTGATTATTCCTTCTTTTAGTCTTAAGGTGCGGGGTTCCTGATTACAGTGATGTAAATATGGGTATCGATTGTCCGTCAGGTTACACATTGGGATCACAATGTTCCATTGGTTGTATATCTGGGCTACCTTTAGTCGGATCAAACAAAATAACATGTGAAAAAGATGATTCAGACCCACCTAAAACATCGTGGGATTTTAGCCTTGATAGTCGGCCATTTTGTAGAGGTAGGCTTAGTTAATTTCGAAATTGGCCTTTCCATATTTTGCGGCTACATCTTATCTGTGTATATGTCAAAACGTATTTTGTCTATATACATGCACAAATAAAATCGTAAAGAGTTGGTTATTTTAATTCTCGACGTAATATCGGAAAAGCGGCATGGCGGTAATGTAAGCGAATTTTAACAGTGTATGAAGTCGGATATAGATTTTTAAAGTTACAAATCAATGTATAAAATCTGGTGGCCATCTTAAAATCCAATGTGGTGGCTATTGTAAGCGGATTTTAATAGTCGGATATACTCACCAGTTGCAGTAAGCATTAGAATTCTGTTTCTAGTATGTATAGTTTCTGAGACACAAATGAATGTCTAAAACTTCCAAAACGGGAAAGAAGTTCAATGATCACAACATTACTTGTATTAAACCTTTGCAGCTTTACCGTGTAAAAATTTAACGGCTCCATTGAATGGTGCATTAGTCTGTGATGACTGGGCTTTTGGTACATTTTGTAATATGATGTGTAATTCAAATTTCGATATACCAAGAACTATGGACACAAGTAACCGTTTTATTTGCGGATTGACATCAGGACAGTGGTCTCCCACGGATAACGTTCCTGATTGTACAGGTAAGATAAATATTTTATTGATGTTTCAAAGACGTGGGTATATAAAGATAATTAGTCAGACATATTATATACTTTTTCTGGAGTAAAAACTATGGTACAATTTGCCATTTAGGCGGTGGGGAGAGGGGCGGTGTATGCTGTATCGACAGGAATACATAACAAATATATCTAAACATGAGCTTTATCCAAGGACGTACAATTTTGCCCAAAGATAGATTTAGACACCCCCCCCCCCCCAAAAAGAGAGAAAAATCAATCAATGCTTTATCTGCATTTTATTTTATCATTCACGTACCAAATATTTATAATGTACATCTAAATTCACAGAAGACAGAGAAGACAGAGGACCTAAGAAAATGGTTCTTCCTTCTAAGTTTTATTATTTTGATGGAGACTGTACAACAAGCACTGATGTTATTAAGAACAATTTTATTCAAGCACTACAAAACTCACCTACATGGTCACAAGTTTGTCCTGTTCAAGAGGATTGTACAGCAGAAAATGTAGATGTTAAATGCGGTCCCACATCAGGTCGAAAGAAAAGGGTAATGTTACTGAAGTCTGTTAATTATATAAATCTAACAACACGTCATAAATAACACAATGAGTATAGAGTAATCACATCGATTACACATCTAAATGGTTACCCGTATTCATTATCATGACACCTATTTTATATCAGCGGAGAATAGATAAATCCTGTTCTTTCATAATTAGTTATGCAACTCTCTGCTACAGTGATTTTTTTCAATAAGAAAGAACCGCTCTAGTCTAAATCACTGATTTTAAAGTGTATTAGTTAGTTATTTATCTGTGTCGATTTTACTTATAATATAGGCTTACAGGGAAATGAAATGAAATGAAATGGAGTTTAACGTCCTACTGTTGGCTTACAGGGTATAAGTATTATAAACTTGTAATGATGTAACATACCATACTTATATTATATCTTGCTTACCCACAGAACAAATGAAAGTTTCTCAATTGCATAATGTCCTCCAACGACTCGTCTCCTCTAGCATAACTGTCCTATATTATAAGGTGGTTGTCTAAAAGATGAATACGTTTCAATCTACAAAAGCTGCATTCAAGGTCTAAATGGTGAAGATTTTAAACAATAGCGAATTAGTATTAAATCAAATTATATTACATCTATAATAAAGCGGAAATATGGTGCAATTATGTCTCTCTGATCATGGTTAACATGGTATCTTTTCAGAATGTAGAACAACACAGGTATAAGCGAGAGGCCAATGAATTATTGATAATTTTCAAAATTGCTATACCATTTTCTGTTAATGGGACATCTAAAGAAAATGCCAGGGATATTAGTGCAGCAAAACTTAACAGTATTGCCGATGGTATTAAACGTGATGTTGTAAATGGTGTTTTTAGCAGTGTTGCACCAGGCTTCACAATAACGAATGAATCTGTGAAGTTTGATTGGGAAGATTTTGAATGTCCAGAAGGACAGATTTCCAACTACGCATCAGTTTCATGTCGTAAGTATTAGTAATCTGAAACACGTTTACTCTATTTCTCGTTAGAAATACAACAAAATTGGTTACGAACGGTTTTAGCGAATACAGGTGTGCGAGAAACTTTGAAATTGAAATTCGCTTTTGATTGATTGAATTATTTTGATCAGGTGGATGTCCAACTGGAATGCTGTATGAACGAACAACTGAAAACTGTACTTATTGTCCTAGGGGAACTTATCAAGATGAAGACTTTTCTCTGTCCTGTAAATCTTGTCCTGAAAATACTTCAACTATCCGTGAAGGATCTCGTAACGCAAATAATTGTTTAGGTAAGTAACCTTTAATTGATAATTCATGAATGGTTAAATGGACACTTAACTCCCGATAAATACGAAACAGGAACGTGTTTGTCGATATTGTAGCTCATTAGGGATTTTCTTCGGAACTATTTGGAAAACATCTTTACACCCCTTTTAAAAAGTCGTTATTTGGCCACATGCTTACGTTCATTTTTCAAAATTTCTCAATAGATTTAGGCCGTCCTGATTTAGGCTGATTTAGGACACGCAAAAAAAATATATCTCGAGCCCTCGAGATATTAAGTCGATCGCTTGAGATACTAAGTCGAGCGCTTGAGATACTAAGTCGAGCGCTCGAGATAGTTAAGACGAGCGCTCGAGATAATACAATCGAACACGTCTCAACCGATTTTTTAAGCTGTATAATTTAATTATCTCAAGCGCTCGAATTAGTATCTCGAGCGCTCGAGATATTATTTTTTTTTGCGTGTCCTAAATCAGCCACCGTACGTCCTTGCTTTCCTGCAAAGTTTTTTTTTAACGTTTGGAGATTTTTAAAAGAACAGGAAATTAGTCTTATTACCGTGTATTGAGCCGACGGTGTCAGCCCTGATTGAAATAATTCCGGCCTTCTTTCCGAGTAGGAGTAACTCTTGACGACAAAGATAACTTCACTTCGGGGGTTTCATGTAAGTTTTCAGTTTTTATTATTTTATTTGTAGACTGTTAGCACAATTTTGTATCTAGTTCTTGTTCACACAATTGCAGTTCGTACTTACATCCTCAAAAATACCCTATAAAACTAAGACAATGATGTCTAGCCTACGATACTAACGGTTGCTATGTATACTGTTCTGACTAGCTACGAGAACTTAGCGAAAAACGTTAAGATAAACTGATGTGCTTGTTTTTAGCTACGATTGGGTTCCTTTAGTTTCACCTGGCAAACTTAATTTCATTATTAATGCATGTAACATCTTGAAAATAAGTTCATACTATTAAGACTCATTAAACATACGCACCCCACTCTAGTGAAACAACTTTGGTTTATCTGCAAATATGGTCAATAAATTAAATCAAGTGTTGTTGTTATCAAAATTAATACGGACATTCATATTACGGGGTATTATTCCTGCGCTACTCATATCAGGTTAGTACTTTGATTGGCTGTTGTACACGACGCTCCGCCTTTGTGACGCCAAGAATGTCAAATTTTAAATATCAGACAGCCAGGCTATTATCGCTTAGATTTAAAAAGACATGTTTTGTACCTGTCTCAGGTAGGATTATATGCTTAATTGTAGTTGAATGTTTTGATGAAAAATGTTGTCAATTACCGAGGCCCGATGTGATCCCCGTTGTTTTTTGCCAGATGGAACTATATAGCACCATCTTTTATCTCGAAACACGGAGGGTTGAGAGATGAGGTTTCTTATCTATTTTCTGACGTGTTGTCAACAATTGTCAATTTTGGCATAATATGATTAGTAATTTCATGTTAGTCAGAATTTGATCAAAGCGTAATTTAAAAAAATTCCACCCGATAAAGTAAACATTGGTGAGTGAAGCTAGCCTAACAAAAAAGAAAACAAAATTTTCTATACTGTCACTGCCTAGTTACGAATTTATTTAGATACCTGAAAACGGTTTAAATTAATTTATGGCTGATTTTCTAATGTTTTATGTATTTCAGGGATGTGTTTTCATAAAAGATGATGTTTGAAAATGGCGTGATAGTCATATGTGCTGATTTTCTTAAGATATTTGTCAATAAAGATTTGAGTTGAGGAAGATCATTGAGCACAAAAATGAAAAAAAGTACTCTGTTATATTTATACGCAGTAATTCGTCTTGATGACCTGGCGCCTGGTACGTTCGGGCATTTTTATGCGCGAACTCTTAGGGTTTTTTTACTGGCATGCGCACAGGTACTATTTCTTTTTCTTTTAACAAGTACCCAAATCGGGGATTTCGTGCGGAGGTAGTTCGGAGGTAAACAGTCTGTGAAGTACAACACTTGCCACTGTACCTGTGTATCGCTAATTATAAACCGAATGTGTGAAGGCAGTTCATACATATCACTCAAAAATTTGTCAGTACAAACTCAGTTGATTCACGCTCGATTTACTACTAAACAAACCCATCGGTTTATTTTCTCAACAGTGTGACCCGAAGTGACCGCGGATTTATTGACCTTGTATGAACTTATCCATAGCTATATCCTTACACCGAGAGAAATTATCTAGTCTCGGTGAAAAGAACCATGGTCATCTGGTAGAAAATTACTTTTGTATTTTTTGAAACGGAAAACAGTGTTTTTAGAAGCAAACTAACCTGCCGCACATGAGGAAGTCATTATACTAATAATAAAAGGCGAGACCTCTTTTTGCGGCGCAGGCTTATCACTGAGTTGTAAACCGTCCACAAACAATAATATAGGAAGCCTAGTGACGAGTGTAGTAAGTAGGCTATAGACTATAGGTTTGAGTCGAGATTACTCGCTTTCAGTTTACTCTGTTTTTGCGATAACCAATTATGTGAGAAATACCATACTGACATTCGGTTTTTAAAAGTTGTACGCCAACTAAATGCGTTTGTTAGATACTGACAGAGCAGCCCCGAGTCGAACAATCGCCGCCCGAGCTATCTTCGTCAGCTAGTTTCACAATATCGTGCAATAGGTGTATTAATGTGATTTTTAGGTTTAACCCCGCAAACAATGCCAAAATAGTGTTTTCACTGCTTACAGAAAACTGAAATTTAAAAAAAAAATGTTTTTATGAGGGTGACCCTCCCACACACTCCCTATCGAGCTGCCGCTCGGTCTGCGCAGCCTCATGCCTGGCACATACTGTCAACATTGTATATTTTTCCGTTTCCGCCCTTCCCCCCCACAATATATATTTCACGGCTACGTTGCGACGGTACCAGCATACCCAGTTGTTGACACCCATTACATCCCTCCTGTCTAACAAATCATAAAGCTGTGGTGTTACGGTGGCGGCATAGTATTTCACCGTAACACCACAGCCACTCTAACCATTCATAATACATCTAACTATCCCTTTACAGCACTCCACTCCCTACACATTTCCCCTCGTCCTACTTTCCCAAACGTCAACAACACATCTCATACATCCAGTTCGCTGATTAACCGTTGTACCACGTCTACTGGATGACCTGGCGCCTGGTACGTTCGGGCATTTTTATGCGCGAACTCTTAGGTTTTTTTTACTGTCATGCGCACAGGTACTATTTCTTTTTCTTTTAACAAGTACCCAAATCGGGGATTTCGTGCGGAGGTAGTTCGGAGGTAAACAGTCTGTGAAGTACAACACTTGCCACTGTACCTGTGTATCGCTAATTATAAACCGAATGTGTGAAGACAGTTCATACATATCACTCAAAAATTTTTCAGTACAAACTCAGTTGATTCACGCTCGATTTGCTACTAAACAAACCCATCGGTTTATTTTCTCAACAGTGTGACCCGAAGTGACCGCGGATTTATTGACCTTGTATGAACTTATCCATAGCTATATCCTTACACCGAGAGAAATTATCTAGTCTCGGTGAAAAGAACCATGGTCATCTGGTAGAAAATTACTTTTGTATTTTTTGGAACGGAAAACAGTGTTTTTAGAAGCAAACTAACCTGCCGCACATGAGGAAGTCATTATACTAATAATAAAAGGCGAGACCTCTTTTTGCGGCGCAGGCTTATCACTGAGTAGTAAACCGTCCACAAACAATAATATAGGAAGCCTAGTGACGAGTGTAGTAAGTAGGCTATAGACTATGGGTTTGAGTCGAGATTACTCGCTTTCAGTTTACTCTGTTTTTGCGATAACCAATTATGTGAGAAATACCATACTGACATTCGGTTTTTAAAAGTTGTACGCGAACTAAATGCGTTTGTTAGATACTGACAGAGCAGCCCCGAGTCGAACAATCGCCGCCCGAGCTGTCTTCGTCAGCTAGTTTCACAATATCGTGCAATAGGTGTATTAATGTGATTTTTAGGTTTAACCCCGCAAACAATGCCAAATAGTGACCGCGGATTTATTGACCTTGTATGAACTTATCCATAGCTATATCCTTACACCGAGAGAAATTATCTAGTCTCGGTGAAAAGAACCATGGTCATCTGGTAGAAAATTACTTTTGTATTTTTTGAAACGGAAAACAGTGTTTTTAGAAGCAAACTAACCTGCCGCACATGAGGAAGTCATTATACTAATAATAAAAGGCGAGACCTCTTTTTGCGGCGCAGGCTTATCACTGAGTAGTAAACCGTCCACAAACAATAATATAGGAAGCCTAGAGACGAGTGTAGTAAGTAGGCTATAGACTATAGGTTTGAGTCGAGATTACTTGCTTTCAGTTTACTCTGTTTTTGCGATAACCAATTATGTGAGAAATACCATACTGACATTCGGTTTTTAAAAGTTGTACGCCAACTAAATGCGTTTGTTAGATACTGACAGAGCAGCCCCGAGTCGAACAATCGCCACCCGAGCTGTCTTCGTCAGCTAGTTTCACAATATCGTGCAATAGGTGTATTAATGTGATTTTTAGGTTTAACCCCGCAAACAATGCCAAAATAGTGTTTTCACTGCTTACAGAAAACTGAAATTTAAAAAAAAAATTTTTATGAGGGTGACCCTCCCACACACTCCCTATCGAGCTGCCGCTCGGTCATCGCAGCCTCATGCCTGGCACATACTGTCAACATTGTATATTTTTCCGTTTCCGCCCATCCCCCCCACAATATATATTTCACGGCTACGTTGCGACGGTACCAGCATACCCAGTTGTTGACACCCATTACATCACTCCTGTCTAACAAATCATAAAGCTGTGGTGTTACGGTGGCGGCATAGTATTTCACCGTAACACCACAGCCACTCTAACCATTCATAATACATCTAACTATCCCTTTACAGCACTTCACTCCCTACACATTTCCCCTCGTCCTACTTTCCCAAACGTCAACAACACATCTCATACATCCAGTTCGCTGATTAACCCTTGTACCACTTCTACTGGATAATTTAGATGGGGTTTATTGTCCATTCGACCACACTTTTCGACCAATCTAATTTGTGCTACAGTGTATCTTTATTATTGAAATACTACATTTGTGTAGTTCAATTTTGTGGTCTATTCGTTAATATAATTTGTAACATGGACGGGAAATTTTCGTTTGTTTTTTTTTCGTTGAATAAGCGGATTGTTTTCCCTCTAGTAGATTGAGTGGAGCTTAACCGTGCAATAACTAGACATGTTCAATGTTATTGCCCTCTTTGTTTACACTAGTTTTAGTAGAAATCACATAACGAAGTGGGGTGGGTTTTCTGTGCAATAACAACAAGCATGTTGAGCAGGGGTCAATATTGCAAGTCATTTATAGCACGCTTCATTCGTTAACAGGTTAAGCAACTCGGCCTACGGTCTCGATGTTTAAATCTGTTAACTCATCTGTGCCAGTGTTTTAGTCCATACTTTAATAAACATAAATGCCCAGAGTTTGGCTAATGCCAGTCGTATCTTATGTCCCATTGGTGACTATAAGTATATTACTTTCTACTGATGGTGAGTGCCCCTGCGGTCACCTTACAACAAGTAAGTAAGTAAAGTAATGGTTTATTACTTGAACACTTGATACATCATAATAAACAAAATGCTATATAGAGCAATTAATATAGACATTAAATATATTGTACAAGACATTTTATTATAAATGGTGGTTATTAGAATTAAAAAGAGGCATTAGTGATTTGCGGGTCTCTTTGGTTGTTAAAAAACCCATTTGACGCAATTATATGATTAAAAGTACATAGTAAACAGAGATATGTTTAAATTAGATTTCAGAAACCTTTTGCAATCTATCGCTGAGATACAGGCGTTTTGTTCAATGAGTTATGTGTTGTACAATATTGCTAATTTTATTTATGGGCTTAGGCATAATCTCCACCCCACCAGCAGTCATGATGGGATTGAAGGCGTGTCTCTCACGTGTGTGTGTGTGGGGGGGGGGGGGCACTGGCTGTCATTACCCGATTTTGGAGAATTTGTCTAGTATTTAGGATTGGTTTTGCTTGTGGATATTAATACCATTCCTTATTATTATAAGTAATACCTATATGGTTTTCAACTGAAATTCGTTGGGTAGTAATAGTATATGTGCTGTTACATTTTAAATGACAAGGTTTTTTTCTTGAAGTTATGTCGTGCTCTACTACCAACTTAGGGAATTGGTCAACCTAGTAACGAACATATGTTTTACTCTTTAATATAATAAAGATATGCTATGTTTGACTAGCTATATGCGGTATTAGTCAACGCAGTAATGTTTAATTAATATACTGAAGCTATGTTATGTTTTAGTAGCTATTGTGTTGTATGAGATATGTTATGTTTTACTAGCTATATGTGGTATTGGTGAGAGTTCTCCAACTGGATTAACGCCATGTTCACCATGTCAAATAGGATCGTACCAAGATACAGGAAACAGTAAAACTTGTAAGAAATGCCCAGCGGACAAATCGAGTGCAACGGGATCAACATCTCTAACAGACTGTAAAGGTGTGTCAATAAAACTAGATATAGTATCCACGTTTTAAACAGTTATAAAAGATATAACCAATTATTTCAAATAATAGTTCAAATGGTATCTTATACATATACCAATCTCTCCCAGATCTCACTGCGACAAACTGCTCTGTGAATTGATGCACAGCGCTTGAGATCTGTAGGAAAATCGTTAGAATTCCACAGTTCTGCTGCCGCAAGAGCAAATGAGCGTTTACTGAAAGAACAGTAAGGTTCTTAGTTTCAGAACGAAGATTTCTTGTAGGGTTGAATTAGTTCTTTAATATATAGAAGGGAGTCATCACGTGACAAAGCACAGAATGACAGCATGAGAATTTTAAAATCGATTCTGTCATGGTCTTAATCGGTAGCCAGTGAAGTTCTTTCAAATCGGGAGTAATACTGGCGTATAATTTAGTTCTTGTAAAAATTCTTGCTGCTTTGTTTTGAACCTTTTGTAGTCTATTAGGTTGTAGAGTAACGAGTTGCAGTAGTCGAGACGCGCGGTCACCAAAGAGTTGATTAACGGTTTTATAGTATTAATTTTGTGAAGTTGAAAGTTGGAAGCTTTACAGTTGAGGAGATGTGAGCATACATGTAGAATGCGGTATATAACCCACCTCTAGAACATCATAAAATGTTGAGGATTTCAAATATCTTTTATTATGTACGATATTAATTTATAAATTTATTTATTTAAGGTTTCAGCAAACATTAGGGCGTTAAATACCATTTCGTTTCATTTCTGTTTAAGGTTTTGACATGATATTAACTGGACCAATAAAGTTAACCAGTAAGCCACTAGAATCTGATATGGACAATTTCACCCTTTCTGTTTGGTTCAAATATAAATCACCTGAGTCTAATTTCACTATCAGTCTGATCAAGGAAGGAAATTCTGCAGTTCTCATTAATTTCGCCAGTGAGATCAATATTAATATTAATGGGTAAGTCTAGTCACCTCGTTTTTAATTAATATACATAAACATTCTCTGAAAGAAACTACTGTTATTTATGTATTTAGTGTTCAGTGTATAGGTACTGTCCTTTCGTCCCGTGTCTGCAGTTCCTTGCAAAATACTCTGCCCACAGCTTTAAGTAAAGTGACATTTCTATTACATTGTATTCATCAAATTATGCTATAGATGAAATAAAGTAGTATGTTATGTGACAGTGACAGTATACTGAAATTGATGGAGATTTTTCTAAACTCCCGAATGGTTATATAATGGTTATATATTTTTTTTCATTTTTAATCAAGTCTGAATTATTACAGTAGACGCTTATGGTTTGATCTTTGTTCTCTATTTGTTGCAATGTATATAGTTTGGCTTTACGTGTAGTGCGGTCCTCCTGCACTTACTATTAAGGTGGATTTTGCTATCCATTACCTACCTCGTTGTGTTACGGTGTTTTACGCATATACATTTAACAGTTGTGTTTTTGTTTACCAATATATGAAACTTTTGAATATTAATTGATCTAACAGGTACATTCAAGGTATCCAGTGTTTATTATGCTGATAGCTTAATCAGTTTTAAAATTAAATTCCTTCGCTATTGTGTATATATATAGTGCTGCCGTCACCTCCCAGGCTACAATTAGTGTCTGGACCAACTTCGTGCTAACATGGTTGAACATCAACAAAAGTTTAAAAATGTATCTTGGTGGTCAATTAGTATCTACAAAAACAGTGTCTTCCCTAGAATCAGAGCTCTTGAAAAATGCTTCAATGGAGATAAAACTGACAGAGGGAAACGGTTAGTAATCTAGATTATATATTTTAAGAAGACAAAACTGGAATAAGATAATGCGAGGCATGTAGCTTATGTTTTAAAGAGGTCCTTAATTCATTTTTTATACCTTTGCATTTATGCGCCCAATATGTATGACATATTCAGCACTCCAACCAAAATTAAAGGCAAAAACTGATTAATATCGCTCACCTTCATAAGTGTTGTATTTAGTAATATAATAAATGCCGAATCACCGAATCGAAAATGATATGTTGAAAGCATTTAGTGCGGGACTCGTAGCATATGATATTTTCCCTACTTGTTTAAATGGTATTTACTGGAGAGAAAGGAATCGGGTTTAAGGTTCCATCGGCACAAACTACGTCATTATTTTTTTCAATCATCCGCTTGTATGTATGGGTTTCTAGCTGTGGGAGTGAACCATGGGACCCGGAGAAAACCCACGACGTTGGACAGGCGATATTACCCCTTGTCACGTACAAGAAGAGAATCGAAACTAGGCCACTTGACTCAATGACAGACCGTATGATCTAAAGCGCAAGCGTTAGACCATTCTGCCACCCCCCTTCCCCCGTCCGCAATTTATTGCCGGGTGAATTTTAATGTTCCTTTAATCAATAAAAAAGACAAGCGTTGCCTCGGAAATGTTTCGGGAGGAAACGCAGCTGTTTGGGTTATAGTCCCTTCACCCAACACGCCAACATTGCAATATATATTATTATATTTTAGTCTCAAAACGTACGAAGTATTGCGAAGAATAAAACCAGTAATATGAAGACTTGTTCAGGTTTTCTGTACTTGATCAATAATATGAAGACTTGTACAGGTTTTCTGTACTTGATGACCCATGACGTGTTTGTTCAAGTTTCGCCTTGACACAGTGACGTCATAGTTTAGTTTGGCGCATACAGCTGTATTTGTAACAATACATGTAAAAGTGCAATTTCTATTAAACTCTATTTTAAGAAATAATAATTCTATGATCGGAGTAGGTGCGGCTTTGGTTTGACCAACATTGACAAATATGTCATCGTTTCACCGTAATGTCGGTTCAGTTCGAATGTCGTGAAAATCGAACCAATACTGCCGGACCAAATGGCCGCCCCTCGTACACTAATAGTGTAAAAAAAAATATGGTATATCAAGGTTGTAGACCCTCGGGATGAAACTTGAAATTCATGTTTATAGACCAAAGATCGAGTTTCCTTTCGATATTCGCGCATATCGGATCGTAACTTCCTGAATTATGGCCCTTGATTGTACCAAAAATCGCGTGTTTAGATTGCGGTTCCTCTAGAGGTCCCAATTTTAACCGATTTAAAAAACAAAACAAAAGAAAAAAAAAAAAACGTTTGAATATATCACCGATACACCCTAATGATGTTTTAGTTTGAATTTCTTAAAAATCGGACCATAATTGCCAGACAAAATGGCCGTCCCTCGTTCGTAAATAATGTAAAAATATTATGGTATATCAAAGTTGTTTAAATGTATCAATGTTATTCAATTTTAAAATAATGAAAAAAAAACCGTTACACATCAATAAAGGTTCGAATTTCGTAAAGAATCTGAACGAAACTGCCGGACAAAATGGCCACTCCTTGTACGCAAATAGTGTAAATGTATGTAAAAGCAAGGTTGTGGACACTCTAGAAGTCACAATTTTTATCCGATTTTGATGAAACTTGAAATGTATGTTTAATCCAAAGATTAGCTTGTGGACCCTCTAGGAGGTCACAGTCACAATTTTTAACCGATTTTAAAAAATATTTTAATGTATCAATGTTACACCCTAATGACGGCTAACCGAAATTGCCCGACAAAATGGCCACTCCTTGTACGCAAATTGTGTACAAGTATGTAATACGAAGGTTGTGGACCCTCTAGAGGTCAAAATTTTTGTCCGATTTTGATGAAACTTAATATATAACTTTTTATCCCAAAGATCTCCGTCCCATTCGATATTCGCCCATTACAGATCATAACTTCTTGGATTATGGCCCCTGATTGTACGAAAAATTGTGTTTGTTTAGCTTTTTCTCTATCCATCTCTTGCAAAATGTGGGCGTATCTTGCCTGGCAGCCACTGGTTTATCTCCCTTTCTCATCCCGGGATGTCATGTATGTGACGAGCGACGACAATGGCTCGCTAGAAAGACAACTCCTTCCACGAAATCCGTGCAATGTTGCTTCTCCACGTTCGTTCCATTGCCACCCCTGCCATCGGGAGGGGAGACAAAACATGTTTCAAAGGTATGATGGCTGATTGGTATCATGTTGTGAACCCCGACATTACGACATTTTAAAATGTCGTGATGTCGGGTTGTCTGGTTGTCGGCCATGCTCCTCTCCATATACAGTATAATTATGCACACTGATCCTGGTGTTGTTCAAGAATGTTCCCTGGAATTTTGCAGCGTGGTTTCTTCCTATCGGTAGTGCATGACGAGGTGCCTGACAAAGGACAGTGTCTAGTTGTTTAGATGGGACAAAAACGCAAGCCATACATTGGCGTGCACATCACGCCGGAAAACTCCTCTTTGACAGTGGTACAGGACGGAGGGCATGGCATGGGATAATGTATAGTCGGATGGGACGAAAATCCGAAGTCCCGTATACATATTGGCGTGCACGTAAAAGACCCCCTGACAACTGGAATTCAATATTAGAGTAGACCATACCGCCGCTATTCACGTAATGGTTCCGGCATAGTACACTGATTAGGGTATGCCCGTCGGAGCAGAACTTTAGGACGTTAAACCCCATTTCATTTCACTTCATTTTCCTACTTTTCTACACCAATCGGGCTACTGATAATAGACATTTCAAGCGGTGAAGTTCCGCTACAAGGCCTTCACTGCTAAACAAACTGTACATTTTTGGTAAGCTTATAACACCAGGAACACAAATCCCGAAAGTTCCAAGCAAATCGGCTTAGGGCCTGGTGAAAATCGTTCTGCTCTGTTCTGCTTCAAACTGGGCTAATGAAGACGGACATACGCGGCACTACGGTCTACTATTATATCGAATTCCAACTGTCAAGGGATCTTTTACGTGCACGCTAATGTGTACACGTGACCTCGGTTTTTGGTCATATTCGAACGACCAGACAGCTGTTTTTGTCGGGTCCTCTGCCCTGCATCACTGACAAGGGGGAACCACGCCGGTAAATCTGGATGAACTTTCTCGATCAATGCACCGTGAACCACCCCCACCCCCGTGACCCCCCCACCCTTATTTTTAAGTTATGTTGAAGACTTCGCAAGTTTTAAAGATAAATAAATTATTGTCTTTTTACAGAAGTGACAATCAGACGAGCCATTGTATTCGATGATGCCGCTGTTGAAGATAGTTCTCAGACATGTGACATGACAACACCACGGACAGTTCTTACCTCCTTAAACAGTATGACAGCAGATAATAAAACTAATTTAAGTATTGTCATGCCTTCTACTTGTGATGGTAAGTACATGCTATGTACAAACAAATAATAAAAACTCAAGAGTTCCCTGTGTGATGGTTTGTACTGGCCATAAATACAAAAAAATAATAACTATATTATAACTAATTTAAGTCACGTCTACTAATTATGAATCTGGGTATAAATTATATACAAAGAGATAACATAAACTAATGCCTTCTAAACGTGGTGGATTGTACTAACAATAATACACAGATTTAATAAAACTAATTTAGGTATTATCATGCCTCGTGTTGGTTTGTACCATCTAAAATACAACCAGACAATTAAACTAATTCAAGAAATGTAATGCCCAGTGATGGTTTCTATAGTATAAACATATAATATAAACTAATTTAAGTATTGTTATGCCTTGTGATGGTTTGTTCCATCAGTACAAACAGATTATAAAAGTAATTTAAGTAATGTCATGCCTTGAGTTGGTTTGTTTCGACTATAATACTAACAGATAACAGCAGTAATTTAAGTATTACAATGCCTTGTGATGGTTTGTTTCAACTATGATACAAACATATACTAAAAGATATAATATACTAAACAACGTCGAGTCTTTCAAGCACCTGGTTCCTTTGAGCTGTCGTGAGTCGTGGCATGCTGCTGACGTAGTAGTGTGAATGATTCAACGAGGTATGGGGGTGCATTTTATAGGGCTGGTGCCGGTGAACAGCACGTGAGTTACATGAAAATCATGGAGAACACATTACCATCTCAGAAGTCAAGTTGGGTTTTTGAGAACATTTCCTGGGTTCAATTCTGTGTTTGGGATGGAGCCTTATTGCTCAGGTAAAGTTGGAGATGTGGTCACAAATATACAATAAAAACAGTTGGCAAGTTGTATGCAATGCGTCTATTCAGAGTAACATACCTGACGTTTCTTTTGCTGCTTAGTATATGTATCTATTTTAACTTATTACAGCTGTAGATGAATGTTTATCATCACCTTGTGGTCAACATGTTTGTATAAATGAATTATCAGGATTTAAATGTAAATGTTCTGATGGATATACTGGTGATCTATGTAATATACCACCTGATTATTGTTTATCAAATGGTTGTAATACAGGTGCTACATGTAACAGTATTTCTACCAATAAAACATTTACATGTACTTGTCCTAAAGGATACAAGGGAACACTTTGTGATGTGAATATTGGTAAGTTTATTTCAATCGTCATTTAAACCCTCCTGTTTAAACCCTCCTGTTATATCGACATATGACTTTTATATGTATTTCAGTCTGGGTTTTCTGCACCGACTGAGTTGATGAAGACGGACATTCGCCATGCAGTGTGCAATGGGGACATTTGCCCGGACAGCGTTGCTTCGGCCTGCTCTTATTTCGAATTCTAAGGTTTATTTTTACGTGCACGTTTTTCGTCCCATCGTAACGAATATACCTTGTCTCTTGCCCGGCCCGTCGTCCTGTACCACTGACAAGGGGGAAGCAGGCCGGAAAATCCGAGGAACTTTTCTGGTCAACATTGGGGTCGAACACGGGACATCCAGGTTAGCGAAGCAACGTCATACTCACTGGGCCACCACGGCACCCGCATTCTAGTTGGGGAACAAGATGTTTTTGTATGATTACCAAGTTTGTTCCACATCAATCTAATTAAACTTAGATTATAATTTTTCATTTTTGGTAGTCATTTGTTTATTCTGCATTGTAACCATTGTAATCATTGTAATATTAATCAACTTTTTATCATAACAGTGGTCTAACAAGAATTCTATATATATCAGATAATCGAATTCCAATTTGATAATAAGCCCCTGAAAAACGAGGATCATTTCCATATTTTATTGAAATAAAATTAAACCATATGTTAGTGCCGAAATGACCCCACCTCTCTCCCTCTCTCTCTCTCTCTCTCTCTCTCTCTCTGGTCTTTAAAGTTTAGATTCGCATAACCTTCCATTACTATCAATATCATCAGATAAACTTGACGAGTCCGATATTACATTTTTCCTTCGTAGTTTAAATCTTTACATATTTGACGAGACCCATATTACATCTGTGTATTAAGTAATTTGTACCAAAGCGTGATATATCCGAGGATCGGGGAAAATTTGAGTTCGGTGGCACATGGTAGAAGCGATTTGGCGTATATGCCATGGCATACCATACATTGACACTTGGTTAAGGGATTAGGATTAAGTCACAAAGATCCGAACATGAACATAGTTAGCTGCAATCAAGAACTAAACGACCTGTGAGGAAAGAAAAACAAGCATCAAAAGGGACTGGTATTCCTTACAAAGGGTACCTGCCAAGTTTCATTCGATTCTGTTCCCTAATGAGGGTAGGGGTAGGGAGGTAGAATTGAAAGTAGACTGACAACCCCAAGAACGAGACGACGATCAAAATACACTTTAAGCCAGGCCAAGGAAGTTACTGGTGACAGATTAAATGTCATTTGTTGTGACGGTTTGCGTATGGGCCCTGAGTATGCTAACCGGCAATAATGGTTCCCGTCGCCCTTGTTGCAATTTTTCTAAATTCATTTAGATATATATATATATATAAAACTAAGACAAATTAGTTGATTCTGAATATTATGGAAGTCATCCGTGGAAATCATGGTCTGATTGAGCTTGTATGGGGCCCTTATATCATCAATGAAAAACGGACATTGTAGTATCTCTGCAGTTAGTTGGAACAAGGGAAGGGCACAATATTCGATGGCACATTTTCGGAAGAGAGGGCTGATTTATTAAATACAACTAGATTAATGTCAAGTCGTCATTTGAACTGTCTTGGCTTGTCCAAAAAATAGGCATTGCGAGTTCTACTGTTTACTGTTGTAACAGAGCGGTCACCGATTACATATGTTGTAATGGACCGTCTGCTAGTCTTTCCTACAGACCATGTAAAAGACAACGGTCCGCAAAAATGAATTTTGGCACCGCGGACCCTCTAGACCTTGATACAGACGCCTCCACTTCATTAACCTTAAAACATTGACCAATAACTATGGGTTGTTCATTGTTAAATGGTTCACTGCATATCTGACAAACAGGCGATACTGTATCCATTTGTGTCTCAACATCTGAATCATTTTGTGCCACCTGCTTCAAAAGGCACGACCAGCTTCCGCAGTGACCCGAGAGTGACCCCAGTCGACATACCCCTTTGCCGCTACCGCAGTGAACTGGGAGACACTTTAAATGAAATTTAGTTGATACTGGATGAAAGTCATTGTATTACGTCTAAGGTAGGAGTATTATTAATCTCCATTCCCTAATCGGAAATCTAAATCCCAAATTTCTCCTGTATTGACACTGGGAATCACTTAATCACTAAAATATGTACAAAAATAGATTCAGCTACCCCGAAAACATATATTTTGACACCAAACTTGATCCTTATGTAAAATTCGATTTTCCCGCCAAAACTGACCACCATCTTGAATAACCCCTAATATTGACTCAGTGGTAACACTTATCACAAAAATGTGTATGGAAATGGATTCAGTTACCCCCCAAAGGGTATATTTTGATACCAAATTCGATCATATTGTGATAATTGGGTGGAAATTGGAATTTACAAGCCAAAAGCGGCCGGTGGCCATTTTGATTTTGGCCAATTTGACCCATTTCGGACTAGGACTTTTTTTTTGGTCATAATATACGTCTAAACCGACCATAAACCGTGATCGGCATTTCTATTGCAGCGACTGTCCGCATTTTTGCTATCTTGCCTGGACTATTTGGTTTTTGTTTTTGCGCTTTTTCGATTTAAGCTGAAAAAGTGGGTAAATTTAAGCAATTTACAACCCATTCAGGCTTTTTATATTTTAAGATATTTCTATTTAATGTTCAAAAACTTGTAGAATCTATCTGTGCGAAGAAAATCTATGTCGAAATTAGTTTGTAATCTGAGCGGTTGCCGAGAAATGAGCAATTTTGCAAGTTTCATTTTTCACGTTATTTTGCATGTACATGTAAAACATTTATCCCGTGAGCCTATTTCTCGATGCCTGTAATAGATACCGATCTGGGACCTATTTTTCTATCGGGAAACCATGTAGTGGGTACTTGAAGATTTTTTTTAAACTACTGCTCAGACAGGAAGTGGCCGAATTTGGTATGGTGCCAAAAAGTAGAAAAACGGCCGTAGCTTCGTCAATTCTGTACCTATTTTCATATAAATGACATTTTCGGAAACCCGCAGTCTTTTCTGGGACAGCAGTAGTTGAAAATTCCGAAATTTCGAAACTTCGTCGTTAACTTCTAGCGTTCGAAAAATGAAAATATGTTGTTTAAGAAACAATTTTTGTTATTTTTTGAATTTTTATTCGCCCACATGTTCATGTGGGCGTATATTGTCGTCGCCACTGTCCGTCCAGACGTCCGTATGTCTAGACGTCCGTCAGTCCGTCCGTCCGTCCGTTCACAAATGTTTGTGTACAGGTCACAATTCTTATCCGATTTTGACGAAACTTGAAATATAGGTTTATCCCCAAAAGATCTCGGCTGCTGTCGATATTGGCATGTATCGGTTCGGAGGTTACAATTTTGAACCGATTTTGATGAAACTTGACATGCATGTTTATAACCCAAAGATCTTGGTTCCTTTCGAGATTTGCGCCCATGGAACGTAACTTCCTGAATTGTGGACCCTGTAGAGGTCACAATTTTTAATTTGATTTCGATGAAACTTGCAATGCATGTTTATAACCTAAAGATCTAGGTACCTGTCGTTATTTGCGCATATCGGATCGTAACTTCCTGAATTATGACCCCTGATTGTACGAAAAATCGCGTTTCTAGCTTGTGGACCTCATAGACGTCTTAATCTTTTATCTGATTTTGAAAAAAAAGTTTTAATATATCACCGTTACACCCTAAGGATGGCTGAGTTCGAATTTCGTGAAGATCGGCCCAAAACTCAGACAAAATGACCCCCCTTCGTTCTCAAATACGTAAAACTATAGTATATCATGGTTGTGGGCCCTATAGAGGTCACAATTTTTATCCGATTTTGTTGAAACTTAAAATGTAATTTTATAACCCAAGATCTTGGTTCATTTCGATATTCACGCATATCGGATAGTAACTTCCTGAATTATGGCGCATTTCAGACCATGACTTTCTGAATTATGGCCCTTGACTGTACAAAAAATCCCGTTTGTTTTTAGCTTGTTCTCTATTCATCTCTTGCAAAATGTGGGCGTATCCTGCCTGGCAGCCGCTGGTTTAAATTTCACCTACATTTTTGAATACCTGAAGTCCAACCGATTCCAGGCATATTAGTTTCTTTCATTTTTGGATATTTTTTTTTCGAATTTTCTACCCATTTTGCTATCCTTATATTTTTTGAAAGCCAGAATTAATGTTTCTGAATCCTCTGGATCATGACGGCATACTCTCAAACCATCTGTTAAAGCTATCCCGTCAAGGATCCGTAAATCAGAAGTAGTTGAAATGTTGTCCGATATTTTGAAAAAAATGCAAAAACAAAAACGCGATTTCTCGGTCTGATATCAACGGATTAAACAAATTATGGTATCGTTGGTTTTCATGAGGATTGGGCTGTCGTATGATACTATGACCAGGTAGCAAAATATGGTACGCTGAAAATCAAGTATTTTCTGATTTGGAGAGTTTTTGGACGCCTGTACACTTTCTCTGGAATAGGAGAACAAAAAGGGCTAAAAGTCGAAAAAAGTCGGAAAATAGTTAAATTTTGGAAAATGCTCTATTATTTTTATTTGAAAAAAGTTTATATATTAAGATAGCTGATATAATTTTCGATTTTTTGACATTTTTGCATTTATGGCACATTTGAACATGAGATTCCTCATGGTGATTTCATGTGATCATTAATTAATGTAATCTAAATGATACGATTTCGATGGTTAGGAAATAAATTATGGTACGCCGAAAATATAGAATTTTCCGTTTTGGAGCCTTTTGAGACGCTTTTTCTCGAAAACGACACCTGTGATTTTTCTTACCCAGAGTCTTATCGCCTTTCTTGAACAAATTTGAAAAATCGTTTGATTACTGAAAATGCTCTTTTTCTTTCTTTTTTTGATAAAAGCTCAATGGATGTTTCTGAAACTTATGGTACAGAAAGTTAAGTATCCAAACATCTTGGTAAAACTATCCTGACAATGATCCAAAAATCGGAAGTAGTCGACAAAATAT